GCAAGACACGGCAAGGCTCAGCGCTCGGCTCGGCTGGACTGGACTGGACTGGACTGGACTGGACTGGACTGGACTGGACTGGACTGGACTGGACTGGACTGGACTGGACTGGACTGGACTGGACTGGACTGGACTGGACTGGACTGGACCGGACCGGACCGGACCGGACCGGACCGGACCGGACCGGACCGGACCGGACCGGACCGGACCGGACCGGACCGGGCTCGGCTCGGCTCGGCTCGGCTCGGCTCGGCTCGGCTCGGCTCGGCTCGGCTCGGCTCGGCTCGGCTCGGCTCGGCTCGGCTCGGCTCGGCTCGGCTCGGCTCGGCTCGGCTCGGCTCGGCTCGGCTCGGCTCGGCTCGGCTCGACTCCATTCCACTCGGCTCGATGTTCTGGCCGCTGACAGCGGTGCGGGCGTCGGCCAAGTCCGTTACGTCACTCCCGGACGCTTCCACGCCCCGTCAGTGCAGGGGACCGGGGGTCGCGGCCCCTGCGCTGGTGGCAAGGACAGCGCGAGGCACTGTGCTGCCTCCATCGGCACCATAGAGATTGCCGGCACTGCACTGATTCCGCCGGTGAACGTGGAGTCCGCCGAGGTCAGAGACCAGGGACTCTTTCCTCCACAGGCATCACGACAGCAGGGTTGTGCTACCTTTGCCGGTACCACGGAGATGCCAGCGGTGTGTGCTGACCGCATCAGTTACATCCGAGGTGGCAGCTGAGGCGCCCGCATCAGCACAGAGATACCAGCGGTGTGTGCTGACTGCATCAGTAACATCCGAGGTGGCAGCTGGGCCGCCCGCATCAGCACGGAGATACCAACGGTGTGTGCCGACTGCATCAGTAACATCTGAGGTGGCAGCTGAGGCGCCCGCATCAGCACAGAGATACCAGCGGTGTGTGCTGACTGCGTCAAACATCCGAGGTGGCAGCTGAGGCGCCCGCATCAGCACGGAGATGCCCGGGCTTGTGGGGTACCCGCCGCCGATCACAGGGGATAGCGGGAGCTGAGCTTCCTCAGTCTGCCGGTAAAGTAGGTGAAAGACACGCGTCTGGTCACGTGTATGCTAGCTCTTGTCCAGAGCACGTCAGGTGGCCTATCGTATGAGCTAATACGGAGGTGGCAGGGATCTTACAATTCGACCGGCAAAGCCAACAATGTCTGGATTCTGCTCCATCCACCGGTAACGTGGTGGCAGAAGCTAGGACCCTGGGAGCATTGGGGGAAGCGCCGCCCTCCCCCTCCTCCTCTCCATCTCAATCTCCGCATATTTTTTTATTAAACATTTGATTTGAACCCTTTGATTGGATGGATTTCTGGCATCAGAGCTCCCGCTAAGCAGCGCTTGTTGTGCGAGCCCTGACCCCTACCATCCGATCGCGCAATTCCAGGCAAAGCAGAATCTAGTGGCGGGAGTTTAACGTGCCGCAATGATCGGCACGGCCCGTCCTGCCCTCTGACGTCAACTGACCTTTAGCGCGACCGCTGCCACCAGCCGCAGGCCGTACCTGTCAAGGGCAAATAGCGAGCGCCTAAAGCGACTCGAACCCACCCTGCCACAGGTGGGTGAATCGGAAGGAAGGCGCTCTAACCAGCTGAGCTACCGCGACAGATAAATTTATTTATATATTTGGCACTAGCCCCCTGTAGGAAAAACCAGGACTACATCCCCCCCCCCCCCCCACCCCACCCGCAATCTCTCGACGGGGTCTGCCGCCACGCGGCTCCGGATCTGCCTCTGTTAGCCGATAACACGTGTGAGGCAGGGCTGAGGTCCTCTACGAGACGGCGGCACCGTAGCCCGTGACACACCGAGTCCGCACGACTGTGGTGCGCCCACAGACTAGAGTATTTGGCTCCCGACTCTGCCGTCTCGTCCTGGCGCTCGGAAGACTGCGACAGCCCGCGGGTGTCCGCCACACCGTCGGCCTGGGTGAACTCCCATAGCATTCCAAAACTAATCCAGTATGGGGGCAGGATGCAAAAACAAATTCATGCCACCCGAATCCTGGCTATCTGGTGGCCCCCGCACGAACCATTCGTTACTGCTAATCCCTCACCCTTTGACCCCGAACCCTGGCCTATGACCCGCTGGGCCAATTTGCCAAGCCGGAGGCGTCTAGATGCTGGGTTGAGCTCCAGCCCACTCGATGCTGATTGTCCAGTCCTGAGCGAGGGGAAAAGCAACAGACAGTGAAACCCCAGTCAGGGATGCGATAGCATGAAAAGCGTCGACATTCCTGCCACCCAAGTATCCAAATATTGAAACACTGGACTCCCACCAAGGCACGATGGTGAACCTCGCCACCTGCCTCACACAGGTGAAAAACGGCGCTCCTATTTTGAGACTCACCGATTCGCTGTCGCAACTTTGTTCCTCCTTTAACTACGAAAATAAATCCGACATTCGTGTCCATCAGCGTGGCAGGCCGGGGAGATGCATCGAAACCCGTAAACATCACACGTCAACATCGGCGCTATACATAGACTGCTTAATCCGAATGTTTTGCTTCAGTAGCAGGGCCCTCTTTCTAGTTCTCCGAATGGTTTTCATTGCTCAGAAATGTTTTTGAGCAGAGCGCGTTGCGTGCATGATGCATCGTCGCGCAGGGAAGCCGCTCCAGATTAGCGGGCACTCTTGCCTCCATATGTGTAGCCAGCAGGATGGCTGCGGTGAATTCTCAGTCTTCTGTATCCCGAGGAGCTGTGCTGATGTCGTGCCGCAGCATTCCGTCGGCACAACAAAAACATCACGAGGCACATGGAGGCAATGACTTCATAGCCTTTTCGGTCGCAGAAAATACGAAGGAAGACGCGCACCTGATAACGCGTGCACCAGCTCCCGCCCAGAGAACGGCAGATTACCTGAAGTATGAGGTTAATTTACCGACGAATCTAGGTACATTACGTGTCTTGGCTACATGGCCCACCGCCCGACGCAAACCAGTTTCACATACCTGTCGCCGGGTTGAATGACGTGTTGAATGACAACCGGATCACTCATTAACCGGCAAACATCAGTCTCAGAAGGAAAACTATTGGAACCAAGGTTCTCTGTCGACCTTTCACACCTACATACCCTGCTTGTCGTTCCGAACAGTTCCATATGCCTTCTGGGAATTCAACCACGGCAGTTTAATCGTCTAATATCTTCAAAAACAGCCACGACAACGAAGCGGCCTAAGCCTGTCATATTTGGCCCATTCCACACAGCTTGCCGCACAACGGCAGGCCCAGGTCGGTTCCGCAGCGACACGTGTGCGGGGACATCCATCTAGAGCCACCGCAGCTGCCATGTCCAACCCTTCGTGACCACGCTCCTCCCATACGCGACTGCGGCGGCGGGGGGGGGGGGGGGGCGTCACGGGTGAAGGAGGAGGAGCGAGCCGCCGACCACAGCCACGCGAGGCCGGCCCCGTGTTTGTTTACAGAGCACGCCGAGCTGCAATAAGACGACCGGACGGCGGGATCCGGCGCGCGAAGTGTCGATTGCGGCGTGATCTGGTGCGCCCGGCACGTCCCCCCCCCCCCCCCCCCCCCGGTCGGCACGCCGCGCGGACCGCCCGCCGGCCCACGCGCGCACGATGACCGGCGTTTGCCCGCCGCGGGGCGTCGGCGCTGCGTGGGCCGGCCGGCCACGCCGCCGCGGAGGGAGAGCGCGCGAGGCGAGCTGACGAGGCCCGCAGGAGGCCGGGCGCCACCGCTGCCGAACCGTCCGCTGTTAGCCGGGAGCGACGGCTGAAAAGTCCAGCAACGGTCTGCCGCGCGTGCTGACTGCCGACTGACCCGCCGATGCTACGCGTATCTATGCGTTGGAAGACGGTGCTGATTGGCGAATCTGAGCAGAAGGCGGAGTCTGAGAGGGTAGAGAGGCTGAACTGCGCTTGCACGGTTGGATGAGATCCGGCTCCTATTCAGACTGGAGCTGGAATGTTTTCCCTGCGGGCGCCGACGCTGGTGTTGGGGCTCAGAATAGCTCGTTGCACGCCCCCCCCCCCCCCGCCCCTCCTCTTCTCCGGCCGCCGAGCGCCGCTGACCGATGATGCTGCTCCTATGCATGAGCCAAATAGCTCTGGCGAATAGCCGACGTGTCATCACCCGGCGGCACACATCTGTGCGCTGGGACTGCCGACGCCGCGGTCTGCAGTTGCCATGGAAATCCAAACAACCTCGGGCGAAACTCGAACGATACCGCCGTCGTGCGTTCGCTGCAAGTGGCGAGCTGTGTCCACAGAACCAGGCGACCTCGGGCTGACCGCAACGACAGCCAACAAAAACTGAAGGAGGCGCCGGGACCGGGACAAATTGCTCCTTCACGCGGTCTCATATTTCACATCGCTGTTTACTACGCTCGAGGCAAATGGCATGCCACGCCACCCCACCAGGCTTCGCCGGGCAGCACGTGGTCCTCGCCGGCCGGGCGGCGACCCAGCGTGCCTCTTTGGATTCGTGCGGTACGGAAGTGGTTTATGCCTGACATCAACGGCGGCCTAACCAGGCAAATAACAGCAATACGCCCGCAAAACACGATCATTACCGCGCCTTGGGGAAATCCCGGCGGGGATCATTACCGTGTTCGTGTTGAGTATGGCGTAATTCCGCTGCAACGTAACGCACAAAGCTGTTGCAAGCCAGGGACATGCGGAATGCCCGCCAGCTACCACACACCACATCTGCGGTCACGAAACTACACAGTGCAACACCATTATCACGAGACGCCATGCGCTGGATGGTAATCTATGGCCGGCCAGTGTCCACAGCATACACATCGAGTGGCGACGAGGCGTTGGAAGATGAAGTGGCCACATGACATCAGATGTCAGGCTCTGGGCCGAGCCGTCCGATGGCCTCTGGGCCGAAGGGTCCCACTGTCGGCCCGTTAATCCCACCCCTCCAAAGGAACACATTCACGAGCCCACTTCCCACCATACGACACAAACAGCAACCAAATAAGCTGCGAGCGGCGATAACGGTCGGATCAGCCAGCCCCACTGCGTACCGTTCTCCTCAGCAACAGAGGCGGCGAAGGCGGTGGCCAGGTACTCATCGTCGCGTAGCAGCTGCGAGAAGTCGGGCGCCGGCGGCGGCGACTCGGCCCGCTGCGTGAGCGCGGCCGCCAGCCAGCTGCTGAGCCAGGCCACCAGCAGCAGTGACCTCATGCCGACGGCGTGGCGCGCCGGCCCGGCCTGGCGGCGCAGCACCAACAGGGTCAGCCTGTCTCGTGGCACAGCACCAGTGGGAGGGTGCAGAGATCACCATGTCAGTCAGGGTTGCCCTGTTTCATGTCACAATAGGCACAGCCATTCAGGCCCAAGATACCAGTGAGACATATTTAGTCTAAGGCCATTACATGGGGCTGGGTACCTAGTGACATGCTACTACACCAATGAAATGGAAATGAATTATGTTAAGTGTAAAGCATCATGTTACCTTCAGGGTAACATGATGCCTTTATACCTGAAGGCATGGCAACTGCATGTGCAAGCATACTAAAACAGGCAATTGTATATGATATTGATGAGACTTTGTGTGACCATGTAAAATGTGTGCATGTGTACACTGATTAGACTTGCACATCCTATACTTGTCAGATTGCTCGTTACTAATACAACAGTTGAAGTCTAACTTTAGCTGCAGAATAGCACTTTTGAAGCAGGAACAGTTTACAAGGGTTGATTAGCAGGAAACAACAGTAAAAGAATGTTGCGTAATTGAATTTTAAGTGTGCTCGCATGCATAATGCATAGTTTGATCATAAATAAGTTGTCTCAGAAAGCTTTATACACACTGCTCAGTGAATACTTACACAGTGTGATTATTTAGACACTGACAGACATATTTGTGTTCATATACATCTTTATCAGGTGTCCCAAGGAAAGAAACCTAAGTTCTAAGGAGATGACCTGCCAACAGACACTAGCTCAATCACAAAACAATTAACTTTAATATTATACAACTATGCAATCACTTGTTTTCTTAATTCACTTTTTGTTTATAGATATGTATGCATGTTAAATTACATGATTTGGATCCCAAGGATAGACCCAAGATATGACAGGGTTCCATGTTTTAGAATCTCCAAATTATTTGGTGTTTTAGACACATGTCTGATTCTAAGATAACCTACTGATGAAGCACTCACATGCATGGTTGTGCCCTTGGCATCTACTACCGTAGCATACTTTCAACACAATGCAAGGTCTTCATGTTGTGTGCTGTCCGGCCAACCCCATGCATTTGGAGGGCAAACCATATTTGCACCTATAAAGACAGAATCTCAAAGGGAAAACAGGCATGGCTACTCCATATGATTAACTGAAAACCAGAAATACAGATAGCTTTGGCAAAAGCTATGGGATCAACCCATAACACAGCTCCATACAGTTCTTGCTTGGTCTTCAGTGTTAAGTCTACATAACTGCTTGAACTAAGAGCATTTCATGGGTGCTGGATAGAGCACAGGTGCTACATCAGCTCTCTCCCTGATGAATTGGCACTGTCATCTAAAAGACATTTCCATAACCTCTTGGCAACATTTTTCAGCAGAATAGTACATAAACATCAATGTTACAAATCAAACAGGTCACTTGCACACTAACTAGGCAGGAATGAGTGGTGCAAAGACACATAGCTCTTACACAGAAGTGCAGCATAAGGGAAAGTCAGTTATTCCATGACTGAGGCCCCTACATTCAAAATCTGGAGTGTCCCCAACCTAAATGAAAATTGTCATTACAATATATTATGTCCCACCATGAGCTGGGGATGAGAAAATCCAATGTTGTATGTTCATGTTGCATGCATGTTGAATTCAACCTCTAGCTTCATGCACAGCAATGTGCATTCTCGACATGTATCCAACTACGTTCTGACTAGTTGAATGATGTACCATTCTATACCGACATTAAGCTGCGGAACAACTTCATCTCTAACAGCCTATAGGTAGATCAAGCCACACCATGCGTTTGTCTTACCATGGACAGGAATCTACAGTTTCACTCTTTAACGGAAAGATTAAATTATACAAAGAATCGCAGCAACTTATCCCTTCATGCCCAAACGCACCCAACCCCTCAAACGACACCCGCGCATCACGCACCGCGGCGGTCTTTTGTCAACTGATCCAAGGTCGCACAGGGGAAGCAAATATTTGGAGCATTTTCATGATCGGTACTGGAATCTTAATGACGTCATTGATAACGTTTCTAGATCTATGCCGTGAAATTTGGATTATTTTAGCAAATCAACGGTGGAAAAATGTGAATACAAGAGCTGCTTTTAAGGAATTAATTGTTGCTTAACACACTTTCTCTATCATCTTCTTTGAATTTGTGCTCCATAATTGTCAATGCTTCAGGTAAGGTCAAATATCGTGTTCGGCACTTTCTTGGAAGCTGAACATGAATTTTCCTTAATGAAAAAAACCTACGTTTGCTGCTGTTTTCAGCTTAAAGAAAATAAGTTCGTTGCAATTTTAATCTGATTAACATCCAGTTTGCTCGACAACATAAATTGAAATACTTGTGACGTCACATAGAATAAGCTGAATAAGTAAGCATGACAGACCCGCTGTACTGCGCGCCATCTTCGTCTAAATGTTCGATACCGCTCTTGGCGGCGTATTTTTGTATTCCAGCGGCTGGAGATTTTCTTTACGAAATATCTCAAGATAAACCTCGGAGCTCTAAAATGTAGCTCAGCCGACATTCAGCCCAGCTTCGGCCTAGCCCAAATTTGGCAGCATAAGTGTAGAAAATTCCCTTTACTGGTCAATATCTCCCGCGGACACCAAAATCATGCACAGGCGGAACAGCACCTAAGATATCTACTTTCGCCAAAGGAAACGGTGGACAGAAAATCACCCTATCTTGTCCACAGGATAAGCTATACGCCATCAAGAAACATGTCCTTGGGGCGGCTCCTACGATTTTATTTCAAGTTGACCATTTGGAAAATAATCACCGGAAGCCGCCGACGTACCCCGGCAGTTCTTCGACGTGCGGTCCGGCTCAGAGGACCGACACACTACTGCTGAACCGACGGACCAGCCGCTCCGCCCGGGCGCCAGCTGGCCCGGGCCGGTGCAGGAAAAAAAACACCCGTCGAAGCACAGGCCAATGCCCATCAACCTGCCTGAGGAAACCCTATAGGTCAATGATATCTAAGTAGTCAAAATCCCATGAGAAAACATATAACAAATTTTGGTGGTGTCCCCGCACACGCCGCTCTCCAACGTTACTCCGGATCCGCCCTTGGCGGGTCATTTGCGCGCAGGAGCCGACGCGCAGTGGAAGGGTCAGTTGGTGGCTGCCGTGTGGGTCGTCCCTGCGCGCGATCATAACTAGGGCGTGATCCCGAATACAGATTCCGACCTGACTCCTGATTGTCAGCGGGAAAGCCGCGTTGACGGCGGACTCGGAAAATAGAACAATTTCCACTTACTTACCTACCAATACATGTCCAGCGCGTATCATATAAAAACATGCATCAGCCCAAATACCAGAACACACACACAAGTAGACTATTTTATCTAGGGGAAGTTATGATCGATCGAAATACATGCATATCCGGCGGCACTACGATTTTCTTCGAAATTACCTCATCAAGCTATAGACCGATACTTATCAATCTGGCTGAAGAAGCTCTAGGGATGATTCCTATCTAAGAAATATAAATTTGCCCCATCCAAACATGGAACGATGCTGATCAATCTGGCTACAGAAAACCTATGGCCAGAAATATTTCATATGCCAAAACCCCATGGGAAAATATACAACGGAATATTTTACTTACTCGCTGACAAATTCATGACTGAATGCATATCATATAAAGGCATTCGACAAATTATATATATATATATATATATATATATATTGTATGTTTTACTACCGGATTTGGACCTTTTATATTAAGGACCCAAAGGGTATGGCCCACAACTTTCTGGAACGCAAATAGGTGTCTGACATTATAAAAAGGATCTCTAAATTGTCAAAGCTAAAGAAAGTTTGTACTAATTGTTTCACGGATAAACGTAGCAAAGAAAACGGAAATTACGATATCATATCCAGTTTAGTGTGCTTGACTGAGTCGGTCGCACTTTTAAAGCTCCACGGTCGAACCCTTTTTACCTGAGTTTTGTCTTCTGTTTTCTTCCTGTATGCTGCTGACCATGGCCTAGTTTTGTGCTTTGTGGGAGTGTTTTGGCATTATTCAGCGATGTTTAAAGGGAATGTTCCACCTTTACATGGGGTTTTGAGCTAAAATAGCCATCTTGAGGACCTTTTGATGCAGTTCACGCCCATGCCTTTTTTAAGACCCAAAACCCTCTGGTTCCTGAGTTATACGCCTGCAAAAGTACAAGAAAGTTTATTGGGACACTACTTTAACGTCACCTTGGCATTGGGGTCTTCAAGAAACGTCATCCGGTTTTCGTTATATTACAGGCTGTTTTCTGCTTATGGTCAAAACAGTATGGCCGATGATAAATTCGCAAGAACGATGATGCGGCACATATGGTGCAATCCGTGGAAGGCGATTGGCTGTAAGTAAGACTTCGTTGCTGAATGCGTGTCGCGAACGTGAGCATGAGCACTTCCGGGTTGCGTGGCAGTCGTCGCCAACGGGGCATTTTTCTTTTTTCTAGGCCATAGGTTTATTTCATAAGAAGAGAACGCTACTGTCTGCAAAAAGAAATACAGCACCGAAAAAGAACGTGTTCTTTCGAATGTTATAAAAGAGAAGACGCAACAGCAAATATGCCTTTTTTCTCCTGCTGGCGTTTTTTCTTCTTCTGCTGACGTATTTCTTGCAGACAGCTCGGTTGGCACCTTGTGTGCAGGAGCATAGAATCTTGCCCGAGTTTTTGGATTCTCAAGGCATCATAAAATTAGGGGGACATTGCAGTAATTTTAGATATATATTTTGTTAAATATTTGACACAAACTGTAGGACAAATTTCATTCTTGAACCAAAAAAAATTGCGTCCTACACATGCAACCTCTTCAGTTGCATTACCATGAACTCCCGTTGGGACTTTGCTTTGAAGGGAGCTCACGGTGAATTGTGGTGTTATAGTCGAAAACCTGCGCGGAAATCGCGAGAAAAACATGCAGTTGGCTGGTTTCCCGAGTTGTGCAAGTGTGGGATCACACTTATTTGACACTAAATTGTGAATCAGGCGCCTGAAATGGGTGTAATCACTACCAGTGCGTGCCAGAGGCTTGTATTGATCTCGGTGTGATGGGACTGTGCGCGCGAGGTTTGTACTCCAGAGAGGGAACATTGTTTTGGTATTCTTTAAATCTTATGACTCTCAATAAAATGTCATATATTGATACCTGCCTCTATCTTAGGTTTGTGTTTGAACGTGACAAGGTAGTGATGTCGACAAACTGAAAGAAACACTGTCACCCACCATGCCGGGATGTTCAACGGCAATTTGCCACTTCATTATGATCTGGCCAACATTTTGAACCTATTGAGGTATTACAGCATGTAATTAATCAATTGCATTCCATTATAACAGTCATTCATCTAGGCAGTAGGGGCAGGTCAGCACAGCTTATTAACGCACATGTTTGGTACAAACTCACATGATGCAGCTTTGCAAAATTGTCTTTCACTTAAGAATTCTGAAAATATATTGCTGTATCATCATAGGAGCACATACTACTGTCTTAACAAATTTTGTATGCAGGCAGGCTTTGCTCGCGAGTCATCATTGTCATAGTCACTGCAGCTGGTGTGAGGTGCTAGGTGCTGAGAAAGGTGAAGAAGCATTGCTGTTGGTTTCTTGGATAAAACTTAACGTTTTTATCATGAGCCTTGTGTGCATCGGCAGTTTCATCGCTCCCTTGCATTTCACCCATCTAGCCATAACTGCATGCTCATGTCATGTCTTCAACGTTGTGCAATGTTACCAAGTTTGCAGTGTTATTTCACCACATGCAACATTTTCGTGTTATACATCCGTTATTACATGTGTGAACAATATTTTTGAGGGAACCAGCCTGATGGATGCAGCATGTTGCATGGTTGCGGAAGCGGAAGACGTGTTTACATTTGTGTTACTTATGTTTTGTGGATCCCCAAAACAGGCTGAGCAAGTGATGTCACTTATTTGTTGTGTGCCTTGCTGACAACATTTTTATATTGTGTCACGTGTTTTTATAGTGTGTCACGTGTCATTCGTATGCCATATGCCGAGTTAGCACAAGAATGCGTGCTTGAAACATGCTTTTATGATGGGATTTATTACGAAAGCAGCAGGGATTGCAGCACAAAACCGTATCATTGTTCATTACGCCATGCCACAGTACGACACTGAGGCAGTGCAACGATGACATTGTTGGCCCGTGCCATTACACAACGTACCACATTGATTGACTACTTTATGCCAAGCCTTTGAGAAAACAGCTTGAGATAAGGATAAGTCGAGAAAACAGTACTGACATCCTCAACAGTCCTTGACAGGTTTTGGTAGGAGATCCATGACGCTATGGCAGTCTTCACAGCATATCGTGCTTTGAAATTAACAATCTGCCCCAAAAGCTGGCGATTGCTACGTTGCGTATGTCAAACAGCCCACCAAGACTTCTCTTACGACCAGTACCAAGACAAAAAATCCACAATCAAGACATCACTTATCCGCCACTCGACACAGCGCCCGCGGCGATAATGGCCGGTTGCTGTCAGCTTTCCTGCGTTTCGAGGAATTCTTTGGGTCTGGCTGCCAGATGCTGCCAGTCATTGCTGTCGCCCTAAAACGATTCCATGACGCCATCAAACAACGATGTAATAGGGTGCATTTTTACAAACTTTGAAATTGTACTACTAGGGGTCGATTTTTGAACCTTCAGAGCTTACCAATATTTTTAAGTAAACTTGCCCCATTATATCTGATGTTTAGCCCAATATCTTCAAATGTGGAACATTCTCTTTAAGTTATACAGACCGTAGCAAGCTGCGTTGTTTTTCTATGGTGTCTTATCGGAAAACGGAAACAAAGCAGTGGCACCTTTGCACCCAAAACGTGGCCAAGTTATTAGCTGTTCACATTCGGAGGAACCCTTGAAATGTGTCGACCTTTGCTTCACCATGAATATTCGCT